TCTCAGGGGGGGGAAGCAGTGCCCCACCAACACTGTTTACAGTGGGGATGGGGTGCTGTTGACCTCAACCCGTGACGTTGTGGGTCGGTGGGCGGAGTACTTCGAGGACCTCCTCAATCCCACTGGCGCGTCCTCCATTGGAGGGGCAGAGCCTGGGGATCCGGAGTTGGGATCTCTAATCTCCGGGGCTGAAGTCACCGAGGTAGTCAAAAAGCTCCGCGGTGGCAAGGCTCCGGGGGTGGATGAGATCCGGCCGGAGTTCCTTAAGGCTTTGGATGTTGTGGGGCTGCGTTGGCTAACGCGACTCGGCAACATCGCGTGGACATCAGGGGCAGTCCCGCTGGATTGGCAGACTGGGGTGGTGGTCCCCCTATTTAAAAAGGGGGACCGAAGGGTGTGTTCCAACTACAGGGGGATCACACTCTTAAGCCTCCCTGGGAAGGTCGATTCAGCGGTTCTGGAGAAGAGGGTCCGTCGGATAGTTGAGTCTCGGATCGAGGAGGAACAGGGTGGTTTTCGTCCTGGCCGTGGAACGCTGGACCAGCTCTATACCCTCAGCGGGGTCCTGGAGGGTGCATGGGAGTTCCCTCAACCAGTCCACATGTGTTTTGTGGACTTGGAGAAGGCGTTCGACCGTGTCCCTCGGGGTATCCTGTGGGGGGTGCTCCGGGAGTATGGGGTACCTGGCCCTTTGTTACGGGCTGTTCGGTCCCTGTACGACCGGAGTCAGAGTCTGTTTCGCATTGCCGGTAATAAGTCGGACTCTTTTCCGGTGGGAGTTGGACTCCGCCAAGGTTGCCCTATGTCTCCGGTCCTGTTCATAACTTTTATGGACAGGATTTCTAGGCGCAGCCGAGGTGTTGAGGGTGTCAGTCTTGGTGGCCTTAGGGTCGCATCTCTGCTTTTTGCAGATGATGTGGTCCTGTTGGCTTCATCAAGTCGGGACCTACAGCTCTCGCTGGAGCGGTTTGCAGCTGAGTGCGAAGCGGCTGGGATGAGGATCAGTGCCTCCAAGTCCGAGACCATGGTCTCTCACCGGAAAAGGGTAGAGTGCCTTCTCCGAGTCGGAGCGGACGTCCTTCCTCAAGTGGAGGAGTTCAAGTATCTCGGGGTCTTGTTTGCGAACGGGGGTAGGGAGCGTGAGATCGATAGGCGGATCGGTGCGGCGTATGCAGTAATGCGGGCGCTGTACCGGTCTGTCGTGATGAAGAGAGAGCTGAGCCTAAAGGCGAAGCTCTCAATTTATCGGTCGATCTACGTTCCCACCCTCGTCTATGGCCACGAACTCTGGGTAGTGACCGAAAGAACGAGATCGCGGATACAAGCGGCCGAAATGAGTTTCCTCCGCAGGGTGGCTGGGCTCTCCCTTAGAGATAGGGTGAGAAGCCCGGCCATCCGGGAGGGGCTCAGAGTAGAGCTGCTGCTCCTCCACGTGGAGAGGAGCCAGTTGAGGTGGCTCGGGCATCTGTTTAGGATGCCTCCTGGTCGCCTTCCTGGGGAGGTGTTCCGGGCTCGTCCCACCGGGAGAAGGCCCAGAGGAAGACCCAGGACCCGCTGGAGGGACTATGTGTCCCGGCTGGCCTGGGAACGCCTCGGGATCCCCCCGGAGGAGCTGGCTGAAGTGGCCGGGGAGAGGGAAGTCTGGGTTTCCCTGCTCCGGCTGCTGCCCCCGCGACCCGACCCCGGATAAGCGGTGGACAATGGATGGATGGATGGACTATTTTGTTGGAAGCTATCGCGAGATTTGTGTTCATGCGTGAGGCTGCGAGAATTGAATAAACATAAAAGAAGCAGAAGCCTGGAACTGAGCTACACGCAGCAGCCTCGTGTCTCCGGTAGCAGTCAAGAGTGAACATCGACGAATTAATCGGTTAAAGACCTCCGAAGTGGCAGGCGGCCACGAGTTTTCAAGGCTATTAATAAAGAGCCCGTCAAAAGGAAGCCGTGCCAGTGTTGTCGCTTTGGAGTTACAGATAGCCTTTATGTTCTCCACCTGCAGGAGGAGCATCAGTAAAGCAGCAGGTTATGACCAGCCCCCTGTGCTTGCTTTAGTAGTTTATTACGATTAGAACTGAGCTATTTGTGAACCATAATGTGACAGTTGCATAAATATTAAAAAAGAGAGAAAAAAGAGAGAAAAATTAGAACCTCACATTGAATAATTTGCAAACACTGCAGAGGGCTGCTTTACCCCCCATACAGGGTGTTTTTTGCTGCTGTGTGGTTTGGTGGTGAGAGTCAGACAAAGAACTGGAAACTCAACCGACACGCTGAGCCACTATAAGCGTTGGCAGGTCAGGAAAAGGGGGGGGGGGGGGGGAGTAATGTCTGCTGCTCTCGTTCCTTCCGTTATCGATCTCTAAAGCATTGGAAACAATGACTTGAAAAAGAAAACCTACAATACCTTTTTGGGCATACTACTGACAACCTATTTTTTGTGTGTTTTGACTTGAAATGCTCCCCAAATAACAATATGTAACTTAATCAGTAATTTACATAGATCTTGTGATAGCATACAATACTAAAGTGTGTAATTTTAGCCAAATTCTAACAGATGCTTGCCCTACCTAAGAAGACCGTAGGAACTGTTAGAATTGGGCTATAATTACTCGCTTCATTTATAACTTAATCCATGTAAATGAATCATGGTTGTATAGGTCAGGGATTGATCCCAGGTCTCCCCCGGTGGAAGGCGGGAAGAAATCCCCTGACCTACCAAGGCTTAGGTTGTGACTCAAATGCAGACAAGTGTGAGCAAGGTAAAGAGTTTATTTCTAAAACAATCAAACGCTCAGATGATTCCACAAAAAGGCAAAATGTCCAGAACACAGGCAGTTAGATCCAAATACGAAATAAATCCAAAGGGTCAGTAATTCCAAAAGGGCAAACAGAGATAAGATCCAAAGAAGAACAAAAGCGACTTGAGGCTCAAGAAGAAAGAAAAACACACAAAACTTACTGAGTGACCGATGAAGACTCAACAAAGAAGACAACAGAACACAGGGTTTAAATACTGTAACATGATAGGTAAGCGAGGCAATCACATGACATGACAATCATAGGGAACAGGTGTTGGGGACACAGACACCCAAAAAAGGAAGAGGGACTATGGCGACATCAGGTGGTGAGACAAAGAGACACAGACTGTGAATATGGTCTTATTCCTTTTTAGATTTAAATTATTCCCTTTATAATTCTACTTTTGGGTTAAACTCTCTGGCTGTGCCTACTCATCCTCTCTGTTACAGTATATACACATTTTCAAGGTCAACATTCACACACACACTTTCTTATCACATTCCACCGAAATCTGCATGAATGAGGGGCTTGCCTGTTCATGTCAGAGCCAACTGGCCAATAACACTCAGTTGCGTCCCTCCCTCCTCCTGTTGAAGCCCGGTCCAGAAGATAACTGTCCATCGCACCCGAAAATCGAGGCTATTGCCAACTGAGATCCTCCGGGAGCTTTGTCTGTGAGACAAGCTTTGCTTGTGACCTATAAATGTAATTTTTGTACTCTTGATCTACTCTGGTTTCTTCTCAGGCTTCCAACTGAAGAATCGGGCTAACAAATGATGCCGTGACCTGGATTGGCTGACTTTGAGACTGTGTCCGATTGGGGACCACCGGAGTCCATCTGAGGAGACTCTTTTCAGACAATTGAAGGCCTATAGTCCTTAATGTAAGCAGAATACATTTTCTATTTGAAAATTCAGCACATTGGGCAAATTGTCTGAACAAGATGTCTTTGTGATGGGTAAAAATATAATGTTGTTTAAGGATAAATTGTGAAACTGTTCTGAATTTCTCGACATGGTCACATGTAAAGTATAATACACATAGTGTGATACACACTATGTAATACACACACGTGAGGGAAAGTACATAAGTTTCCTTTTTAGACTATTATGTACAATAGATGTAGTTCTATATAAAGCCTTCTAAGAGATGCCTTCTAAGAGATGCCTTCTAAGAGACACCTTCCAAGGGATGCCCTCAAAGAGATGCCTTTTAAGAGATGCCGGGAAAGCCCGATGCTGTACAGTGCATATCAATACTATCCGATGTTGATATATATATCCTAGGTTAATAGATAGATAAACTCTTCATGCGGACACAGGGTTAAGGTTGTTATTTTTCATGAAAATGTGGATTGATTTCCTACTTGATGATATATTTTACTGTGTTTGTGTCAGCGTATTGGACAGTACAAACTGTTCAAGAATTCCTGCACCAACACAGCTCTCAAGTAATCTTGTGTATGGGGGTTTGGAATAGAATAACAGGGGATATTCTAGTTGTGGTGTTACAGAATTGGCTGAAATAAAGGAAGCTGAGAAAATTCTCACAACTCCTCCTCCTCCCTATGCAGAGGTTCGCGCAATGTTGCAAGCACTCAAACTCCAGACTTCCCAGAAAATTCAATGAGTCAAAAGAAACAATAAAAAGTGTGATTTCCTACAGTTTGAACACAGCCATTAAAACCTATAATCAGTCTGATTTTCTGTCACTTGTCTGGTCACTCTTAGATGTTTTAGTTTTAATTTTTCTCAAATGCCAAATAAAAACAAGCAACAAAGTTCCTCTTTACTTCTGGTGCCGCATATGTGCAGGGAAGAAAGAGCTTCCCTTCCACAGCAGCAGAAGCAAACTTTGGAACATGGAAGTACCAAGAGGGGAGAAAGGCTTTGCTCAAAGCTACTTCAGCTGCTGGGACCACATCATATAAGTTCCTCTGCTCTCCAACATTCTGATAACAAAGATTGAAACATATCACTGTGAAGTGTTTGTTTAATTTGTACAAAGGAGCATGCCATTACAGAAATGTTTGTGGCCAAGTTTGCTTCCATTTTATTTTAAATGAAGTTTAAACATTTACTGATCGTTTATCCACTCATTGACATCCTTCTCTAGCAGGTGAAAAAATATTCATTGATTTGTTTGACATATTCTTTTTACCTGCATGTTTTTTTTATATCTGCATGACCATTGAGGGTTTTCTACAGCTGACAGATGATGTAAGCATCCATAGAGCAGGCCTGCACCACACGCCAGACGCCGTCGCCTGACAGTAGGCTGCAGCCTGTTTCCTGGATGGTTTCATCCGGCTGGGCCGCTCCCCATTTGGTGAAAGTCAGAGGCTGATTGTTCGTATTAGTCTCAAAGTTCCCCTCAGCTTTTTTGGTATTGACATTAATCCAGGCCTTTTCATCAGCTTCATCCCACAGCTGAGCCAGCTTGCTGTTCTCCTCCTCACTCTGGGGCAGAGCCAGCTCTAGGCCTGGTTGGGAGCAGAATTCCACAGCTTTCCAGAAAGAGCCTCTTTCCTTGTTGGTCACAAAGTATTTTTGACCAACCTTCCTCGCAAAGTTAAAGTTTATGGCTGAAAAAGAAGAAGAAAAAGAAAGCGTGCTGGAAATCAGGAAAAATAACCATGTAAATAAATCCTGTAATGTTAAAAAAGCTACTGATGTACTATGTCCTCCAGAATGTGTACTGAGAATATGACATCCCGTACACATTCACCTCTACCCTGTTAGACTTTCAATTTATGATGAATGAGGAACTTACCCTTTTCTAACTTAGCAACGGTCTTCCTTAAAGTCTCAACATCTTCACTAACAGAACCAAAGATATCTGGGTTGAGAAGAAATGATCAAAGTTATCAAAGTTCATTCAGCTGTGTGTAGCTCATAGAATGGAAAAGTGTGTCCTGAATCCTTTAAAGCCTGATCCATGAAAAACTAGACAGAAAATTAGTTTTCTTATAGTCTGTATTTGGCACAGAATTTGAAAAAAAGTTTAAGAGAAATTATTTTTGAATATTTCTCATTCATTACTGTGCAAAAAGCTTTTAAAAAATGTGGTGTGGTCTTCTGCCCGCTGTTATCAGGTAGATATCTGATTATGTACAACAGAGTTTTGAGTAAAGTTCTTACCATTAAATGATTCAAAAGATCTCACAAAGATTTAAATAATCGAACGTGTCAATTGTGATACTGTACATATGGCATTATAGTGTTAACGATTGAGTCTTTTATTGAATCCACAATAACTATAACTCACAATATAAAGCAAACTGGATCTGGATGTGCCAGATAAAGTTTGTATAAGATAACCTCAACTGAATTGAAGCTTTATAGTCAAACACAGAATTTCCAAAAATGCCACTAGTTTTGATTAGATAACCCAGTGGCATGTTTTTATCTAGAATTCACACATACCTTCAATGTTGGAAAGAACCATTTTGATGTATTGTCAAAAGGGTGCTAAAGAGAATATCTCCAAATTATTGATGATATTACCTTAAACACTACAAATGACAAAGACTTATGCCCTGCTGTATCCATCTTTGATAAACAGGTATCTATCTATTGTGATTAGTTCTGCCCATCCAGGAGAAAAGAAGAAAACCTTTCACTCTTTATAACTATTTACCTGCACGATGTGCCACTGCTGTGTGGAGAGATGTAGAATACCAAATACTTCACTTTCTTTTATGATATTCACAAATGAATCAGATGGAAAAAATCTGTCGTGATCACCTGGTCCACAGACTGCGGCAGGTCCAGCAGGTCCAGCTGGTCCAGGTCGTCCACGTTGTCCAGTTGCTCCAAGTGGTCCAGATGGCCCTGTACTTAAGGAAAAAAAAAGAATCAGCTCAATCTTCAAATCAGACGATAGCTTAGCTTGACTCCAACTAACTGACTGAACTATTTTCAGTGTATTTTAATACCATACCATACCATACCAGCTTTATTTATAAAGCACTTTAAAACAACCACAGTTGATACAAAGTGCTGTACAATCCAAAAAACACAACAAAATGAAAACAATTTTAAATTAAAAGTAGTTCAAAAACAAAGACATACACTTTAAACTAAATCTCACTTTAAACTAGATCTCGCTGGTGTTGAAAGCCAAGTAAAATAGATGAGTTTTAAGACGAGCTTTAAAAGTGGACAGAGAAGGGGCCTCTCTGACCTGCGAAGGTAAGTCATTCCATAATTTGGGGCCCATAACAGAGAAAGCCCTGTCCCCTCTGAGCTTCCTTTTTGTTCTCGGTACCTCCAAGAGCAGCTGATTTGCTGACCTGAGAGACGATGGGGTATGTGGGGATGAAGAAGCTCAGTGAGGTAAGCCGGGGCAAGATTATGCAATGATTTAAAAACAAAGATAAGAATTTTAAAGTGAATCCTAAAATATACAGGCAGCCAGTGGAGTGAAGCCAGGACAGGGGTCACATGATCCCTTTTTCGAGTACCTGTCAACAAACGTGCAGCAGCATTTTGTACTAGCTGCAGACGTGAGAGCAGCGCCTGACTGACTCCCAGATAAAGTGCGTTACAGTAGTCCAAACGAGTTGAAATAAAAGCATGGATCACTGTTTCAAAATGCTGCCTGGAAAGAAAAGATTTCACTGACGCCAATCGTCTTAAATGATAAAAGCTGGACTTAACCACGGCTCTAATTTGGCTGTCCATTTTAAAATCACTATCCACCTTAAAACCAAGATCTGTAATAACAGGTTTAAAATATTCCTCCAAAGGTCCCAGGTCAACAGAGGAGGACTCACAAGAGCCACTAGGTCCAAACACCACCACCTCTGTTTTGTTTTCAATAAAGTTTAAAAGGTTCAAGGCCAACCAAGCTTTAATATCTCCTAGGCAAGCCAGGAGATGTTTGATTGACTGTACATCCTGCTGCTTTATGGGCAGATAAATCTGACAATCATCAGCGTAACAATGAAAAGAAATCCCATGTTTCCTAAGGATAGAACCCAGAGGCAGTATATAAAGAGAGAAAAGCAGTGGGCCAAGAATTGAGCCCTGTGGGACACCATAAGACATTGAGGCAAGAGATGATTCAGAGCCGCCAATATTTACCAAAAAAGTTCTCTCCTTCAGGTAAGACTTAATGGGAATGAGTCCCACAGATGCCACCAAGGCCAGCACATGCTGGGGCCTGATGGTTTCATATCATTTGGAAAACAAACATACAACACAAGGAGCTGAAGAAGCACAGAGTCACCTGCTCTGAGACAAGACTGCAGGAGAATGGCAGTTGTACACACCTTTGCATTGCTCTGTGACCACACTCCCAGTTACACTAACAGCTTGACTTGGAGTGTAACGGTACCACTGCCTTTGTCAATCTATACATGAGTGGACTCTCTTATTGGGTTTGGTGTATATAGTCTGGATTTTTTCAGACTGGAGGGGCAGTGTTGAAATGCTCCCCAAAAAACAATATGTAGCCTGAATAAGCTGCATCCATTTCTGACTCCTCTAACCGTCTGACGGTAGAAACACAACAATGTATGAATCAGAGCAGTTTTATCGCTCACTTCGTAAAAGATTTTGTCAAATGATGGAAGAAAAGAGGAGAACAATGCTGGTCAAGCTTGACACGTTCACCTTGATATCCAGGGAATCCAGGCAATCCTCTGTCTCCTTTGTCTCCTTTTTCACCTTTGAGACCAGGGGCAGCGATCAGCTGACTGTAGCCTGAATGAACCATCCAGCAGAGGATGGAAAAAAGAAGATAAAGCCTCATCTTCTCAGTGTAGACTGGGATACTGCTGAAAGAGTTGACACACTTCTTAGATAGAATATGGAGGAGTTATCAATGAGCTATAAAAAAACAAACAAACAAATGAGTTACAAATGAATTACAAATCACCATAATATTAAATTATACACGAAGCTGATGCTTTGGGTAAAAAGTCTTCTAAATGCATAAACATAAATGTGAACAAATGATCATCATTGGAAAATCCACTCACAGTCTAAGTAAAAGTTATCTCCAGTGTGCAGCGTCCCTTTGCTGTTTCCCAACTCAAGTCACAGGAAAAAGAGATTTTCAGCAAATTTGAGTCAAATCCAACCCAGAGGAAGTGAAAAGCTGTTGAAAAATGCTGAATATGCAATGCAAAAGAGAAGCAAAACTTTCCTCTAAATTGAAGATCGTCCTCTGGTGAGAGCAGTCACATGGTGGTGTAGAAGAAGATGCAAGTTTACTTTTCTGTAATAAAAGATTAATAAACCTGGTGAGGTCTTAAGAATTTGTGGTAAAACTGTTGTGTTTGATTCAACAAAGACAATTTTGTTAACTTTAAAACCAGTAATGCAAGCTGGTTCAATATACGTAGATAATTTAGTATCAAAGGAAATTAGCAGAAAACAGTTCTGTTTACAGTTAAAAGAGAATAACTTTATGAGTTATGTTGTTATGTATATAAACTCCTGTACCCCAGGGGCCCAGCTGGTTGGATATTTAGATAAAACCCGGGCTAAGAAGGAGGAAGGCAAGGTAGGTCCACGTTTTAACTGTAACTGGGAATAAATACAACAAAGGATTGTCAGGTAATCGCAAATCAGCTATAACAACCAGGACTTAGAAAAGATAGGAAGTTTTCACTATACAGGGACAAGAAGGGAAACCAGAACACAGGAAAATCTGATTCGAAAACATGGATCAGCACGTCTTCCTTACTTACGTCTTCTTTTCAGTCCATTGTGATGAAAGCTGGATGTTTTTACTATAACCAGGCAGACACATCTTCTTTCTCTAGATGGAGCCAGTGACTGAAGTATGAGATCTGCGATGCGTCTGCTGCCACTGCTCTTCCTTGTTCCGCGAGTTGCTTGGAACAATTCTACTGTCTTATGGGTCAAACGTTTAGAGTTTTAGATGGACCTGAACATCGTCTGAGAGTTCAGGAGGATGAGATTTATTTGATAAAGAGGAGGACAAATTCTACCCAGACTCGAAGAACATGTTTGCTTTCTCATTTATTAATTTGGTTTTCTGGACATGGGGTGCATGGGTGAATGGAGGTGCTTTGGGATGAGTCGGCAACCGTTTGTGGATGGCTGATTTTTTCTCTCTTTGTTATTGTACACAGCTTTTTTCTCCTTGAAAACCTCCCATCACTGTGTTGGCTTCATCTTTTTTCACAGTATCATCAATCTGAAGTTGTTTGAGACTGACTTTGCTTGTTTTCATTTCCTGTCTTTATTTGTTATACCCTGGATTTTCAAACCTTACACAGAACCATTTGTTTCACTGATACAGAAAATATCTGAGCCATACTTTCTACCAAATACTTCTACCCTAAATTCTCTCTTTGATCTTTTGATCGATGTCTCATGCATTTTTTTCATCATCTCACAGAACAAACCAAGTTCTGCGGGATGATGAAAAACATTTTGTTGATATTTTTATTAAATATCAAATATAACATAATTCCTCTTATCTTCCTTTCTTTTCTGTTTTGCTGATTGTGAAAGCATCTGTTACAAGAAGTTGAAGTTTGACAGCCAAACAAAAATGAGGTCATATTTCAATTATTTGTGAACTAACACTACAGTTATCACACTGAGCAAGACCGTCAAAGAGACCAGGGCAGTGGCCGAGATGTTGAGCCAGCGAGCAGTGGAGCCATAGAGCCGAGCACCCTCCAGATCTCCAACCACCTTCCGGTCTCTTGCCTGGAAGCAAAAAGAACATGCGATTTGACATTTATCCTCATCATACAGATCTCAACTTGAAGAGAAATCTCTGCTCAGTCGCTCATCGTCTCTGTAAACCTCTAGATATGTAGTTAAATTCTCTCTCTTCTCTTTTCCCTTCAATTGTAAATGATGCCAAGGAGACATTTAGCCCCACAGTTTGTATTTCCGCTGAATTCATTTCGCACAAAACCTTCAAATAGAATAAACCGGGAAGGGATCAGGTAGAGTTTTTCAGCCAAATGCGCCCTTTTGGGTTTCCTTAATATTTAACTGGTATTATTTCTTTATCATTAAGAAAGTAACCTGGAAGTTCTTTCTTTTTAGTTTTGAGTTTGAATAAATATAACTTTTTAAAAACTGTTAACAGTTTAAGTATTTAAAGAACATATGGGACATTGATTTAACAAACTTCAAAGTTGAAGTAGATTCTATGTACAAGTGTTCCCTGCGCTTTCAGGACATATTTCTGCCTAAATGAGGTGAGTTGTGTTTCTTAATTAAAATTTCTCAAATGAAAAAATGCAGGGAAATTAGGTAGTTTGATATTTTCAGGTGGCTATTGAAGTTTGACAATTACAGCTCTACCATTTCTTCATACAATTTTGAAATAGCACAGTAAAATTCCTGTCCACTTTCCACACCAACTTCCTTATATCTTCCATCTATTGCTTACAGCCATATAAAAAATGCCTTGGAAAACAAAGCAATGCACCGCCATCTATGAAAAGAGAACACAGCTTTTAAAATATGATAGGCTAAATCATTTCCTTATCATGCTCAACTTTTCAGACATATTCATTATTGTTCTAAGTCGATTATCAAACCTGAGATCATTTGATGTGTTTTCAGGTGTAGTTGGAGTGTAACAGGGTTGCTGGAAGCAAGCAGTGACCTACTGCCAGTGGTGGTTAGTTTAACCCCAAAAAAAAAGTTATCTTTCCATATCTGGTTTTAAACAAATAAATGCATGCAATATATATTTCTTTCTTATGCTTTTATGTGTGCATTATGCTTTTCTTGCAGAGCCCTGACCCAACAGATGACCTGTCCTGAAAGGACTTCCAGTCAGTCTTGGGATGATGCACCCCCATTTCATTAAAGCCGTTTGGTGACAACTGTTTGAATCAAGTTTGCCTCCTCTAGTGATTTATTTGGAACGGTGGGTTATGGTCTTTGAACTTAAGTTGATTTTAACTTGATAATGTACCTACCCTGTCGGCAAGAAGAAATGAACTGCTGTATTTTATGCAGCAAATAATCTAGGAAAATGAAAGGTTTTGTTAAGTGGCCATATTATAGAATAATTCCTTTAATTTCAAACACTCACCTTGACAGAAAAGATGAGAGCCGTCAGTCCCAGGCAGCAGGGGTTTCCATAGAAAAGGTTGAGAATTGACCAGATGATATGGTCCTTGGGGGGCTCAGTGATGACATTCACCATGGTGTGCTGAACGAATGTAGGACCCCCAGGTTGTCCTGGAAAGCCATCATTCCTCACTCCTTGCAAAGGGAGGCCCTCAGCAGTGTAAGCAACAGCTCGGTAAACGGGATTCATCGTGAGCTCAGCCGTTGATTGAAAT